GAGGTCAGGGAAGGGTTTCCTTGAAAGAGTGGGCACTTAACAGAGCAAAGGGGAGGTCAGGGGAGGGAAAGGTAGAAGTGGAGAAAGGAGAGAGGAGTTCCAGGCAAAAGGTGCATGCAAAAGCCCTGTGGCAGGGAACGTGGAATGACTTGGGGCTGGATGCCCACAGGGGCCAGGTCACACAGACTCTTGTAGGCCATATGAAAGAATTTAGCCCCTATTCTTAGAGCACAGGGAAGAAGACATTCAGGTGTTTCATTATGATAGGGACATGATCAGATCTGCTTTTCTAAAGAAAACTGTGGGGATGATGTGGGAATGAACTGGAGAAGCCCAGAGTAGATACAAGGAGGCTTGTTAGGAAGCTGCTGCAGTACAGCAGAGATTGAAGTGGTGGCAGAAGGGCTGAGAGATATTCAGGACATGAAATCCACAAGACACAGGGGTGGTAGCGGGAAGACAGCTGTCCGGTAGGATGACCAGATTTCTGGCTCGTGTGACTGGATAGAGGCAGCATCATTCTGAGCCAGTGAAGCCAGAAAAGGACCAGCCTTGGGATAAAGATTATAAGGTGCAGAAGGAGGCAAGCAGGCAGCTGGATAATGTGGCCCGGGGTCCAGAGGGAGGTTCAGGCTAGTGGGAGAAAACTGAATTACTTGGAGGAAATGGTTTCTGGCGTTGCAGGCACAATGAGATAACCCAGAAGAGAAACAGGTGGAAGAGAGAAACTCAGAGGGATTCCAATATTTCTCCATCCTACATATGAGGACACAGGGCTCAAAGAGAAGCAGTGACTTTTTAGGGAACAAAGTGCTGGTGGGAGGAGGAGGGGGCAGAATTAAGTAAAACATGAAGCCAGAGCACAAGTGCAGGAATTCATACTGAAAAGAATGCCTATTTTTGAAAAAAGAGGGTGAAAACCTTCAAGGAAATGTCGTGGCTCAAAGGGAAACTGGCATTATGCTAAAGAGAGTGAATGAGGTTAATGCAATAAAAGCAAGAACCACTGAAAATGATGTCTAGAAATTATTTCTTTAGGGTTTGACCCTGCCCCCGGCAAAAGCCTTCTTTAATTTTCATACTAGTTCACAATTCTCTCTCTCTCCTCTCAGCATTCTCGCATCATGTGTCTCTTAAGTGTCCAGCATTGCATTAAATGTTGAGGATGCAGAGTGGGGACAAACAAGATTCAGTGCTAAAGTTGCTGACAGGCTGGGGATGTGGGGCAGGCAGAAAAGCGAATCAACAATTACTTTGGAGACCAGTCAGTGCTAGGAGGGAGGCTGCTACCAGAACACAGAAGAGAGACATGAAATGGTGCAATCAGCCAGCCAGCGCATCCTGGGATGATGAGTCAGAAGGGTAGGTGAGGCAGCTGCCAGGTGACAGAAGGGAGACAAAGAGATATCTGAAGGCAGAGAGATGGGGGGAAAGCATGTGGCATTTGGAGGACACAGCGGTAGCCAGAGCACAGGATGTATCTTGGGAAATATAAAATGAGGCTAGTGATGGACAGGAACCAGAACGGAACAGACCTCAAATGCCAAGCTAAGTAGTTTCAACGTTATCCTGAAGTCAACAGGAACCTTAGAAGGGTTTTAAGTAGAAGAGTTATATGATCAAATTTACACATTAGAAAATGCACTTGGGCCAGGCGCGGTGGCTCAAGCCTGTAATCCCAGCACTTTGGGAGGCCAAGACGGGCGGATCACAAGGTCAGGAGATCGAGACCATCCTGGCTAACACAGTGAAACCCCGTCTCTACTAAAAAATACAAAAAACTAGCTGGGCGAGGTGGCGGGCGCCTGTAGTCCCAGCTACTCGGGAGGCTGAGGCAGGAAAATGGCGTAAACCCGGGAGGCGGAGCTTGTAGTGAGCTGAGATCCGGCCACTGCACTCCAGCCTGGGCGACAGAGCGAGACTCTGTCTTAAAAAAAAAAAAAAAAAAAAAAAAAAAAAAAAGAAAATGCAGTTGGACAGCAGTGCGGAGGAGAGACAGGAACATTCAGGGCCACAGGTAGGAAGGGCGGCATGAAGGCTATAAAACTCCCATGAGGCCGAAACGCTCTAAGGCTTCTGGTGATCTTTTCTAGAATAAGATAAGGCATAGACGACCAACCAAAGTACCACGTGTATCAATATTTTGAACTTATCTTCCATTACTTGAATTTCTACTGAACTTTCCACAGGTCAATGTCTCCTCTCCTCTAGAAGACTTTAGGTTGTGTGAGAACAAGTACAATTGTATCTCAAAATTTCTGGCCCATAAGGAGGTGTTCATCACATGTGCTGAGTAATTCCAGGCTTTCCTGAGATATAACCGTAACCAAGTGAAGGACAATGTGCCTGAACCCGACAAGCAGACAGGCAGTTAGACTCAGGGACAGGGCACTGGTGAATCCCCCAGAGCACTTCAGAGGAGACCCCAGAGATCTGCTGTCTTTCAAAATATGCTGCTGTTGAAACATAAAGGAAGTGGAAACATTGAGCATCTACCATGTGCTTGGCATTTTATTCACATTATCATGTTTAATCCTCACAAAAGGAGGTGGCAATACCACCATTTAACAGATAAACTAATACAAACAAAAGTTATGCACTTTCCCCAAGGTCAAGGGAATGGTATAAAGGGCATAGGCTTGTGGCCAGGCACAGTGGCTCACGCCTGTAATCCCAACACTTTGGGAGGCCAAGGCGGGTGGATCACGAGGTCAGGAGTTTGAGACTAGCCTGGCCAATATGGTGAAACCCCATCGCTACTAAAAATACAAAAATTAGCTGGGCATGATGGTGCACACCTGTAGTCCCAGCTGCTTGGGAGGCTGAGGCAGGAGAATCGCTTGAAGCTGGGAAGCAGAGGTTGCAGTGAGCCGAGATCGTGCCACTGCACTCCAGCCTGGGCGACAGAGCAAGACTCTGCCTCAACAACAACAGCAACAAAAAAAGGGCATAGGCTTCGTAATCAATGTGGTCATGTGACTTTGAGTCTCAAACAGAAAATGCAGATACTAATTAACTAACCACAGTTAGTAACTAACACTTGTTCCACAGAGTTATTATAGAAAGAGCAAGTATGTGGAAGTCCCTTTTAAATTAATTGTAAAGCATTGTTCAAACTGTTATTTTGGTAGAGCTGTACTTTGGGGAGGACCACTTATTTACCATATATAACCTGACCCACAGTCACTTCCAAACACAGGCCATTTAATCCTGCCTGCTATGACAACAGGACTTCACACTAGATGGGACTTTAAGCTATTAATGGTCTTACTGCTATACTGATTTAGCTGTGGTTCTGTGAAATCACCTGGGGGAAAGAATTTTAATAAAAATTCAACCTTCAGTCCTCAATTTAAAAAGCTTCCTCTGGGCCAGGCGCGGTAGCTCACGTCTGTAATCCCATCACTTTGGGAGGCCAAGGTGGGCGGATCACAAAGCCAGGAGATAGAGACCATCCTGGCTAACACGGTGAAACCCCACCTCTACTAAAAATACAAGAAAAACAAAAAAAAGGGCTTCCTCTGAAAAATAAAATGTAAATGCAGTTGATTTTAAAATGTGCTTTAAAAAAAAAAAAGTCATCCTAAGTTCAGGCTAAAGAATAACCAGACCGTCAGTTAAAGGCTTCCCTTTTTCAGCTCTGATATATTCACATGGCTATGGAGATGATTCTATTTGATTTCAGAACTTCCTAACACTCATAAATCTTTGTTATTTTTAATTCATAGTCTCCTGTATAGCTAAGACAACTTCCTATATATCTGATCACTTCTAAAAGACACTTACAGTACTCTTTCATTCATTCAAAAGAATTTTATTGAGGGCCTCAGACAAGTACTAGACACTATACGGACACAAATTCATAAGACTTGGGCCCTGCCCTCTTGGAGCTTACAGTCTAATATGGCACAAAAAGAAATTTGTACAAGGTACGGGACCTGCAAATGAGGATCAGGGAATAAATCCAATGACTTCAGATACGGATAGATCATATATGGCCACACCATGAAAATGCTTCACAGTGAAGATAGAACTTCAATAAGGACAGAGAGAATTTCTTAGGGTTTTCATAAGTAGAATGTTTTAGGAAGATGATACAACATGAGAAAAAGAAAGATACAAAAAAAGTTTTAGGTGTATCTGATGGGAAGGGGATGGAGATTCTGGAGAAAAATAGATAAGATTAGCTGGAGCAATGCTTTATGAGGAAAATAGTGGAAGATAAGGTAGGAAAGGCAGCTTGGAGCCAGAAGGAAGACACTATTAGGCTCTGGGTCAATGAATGATACACTAAACGTGGGTAGTTCAAGGGAGATTCTTCTATAGTTCTGTTGCGCAACATGGAAACAAGATTCTAGGTGTCCAGGAGTGTGATATGAGGGGCCTGAACTACAGGTAGTTCTGGGAATAAAAATTAAAACATAAGGGTAAAATACATCAGGAGGGAAAAAGGAAATAACTTTAGCACTAATAGAGAGTAAGGTATTAGCTGGGCGCAGTGGCTCATGCCTATAATCCCAGCACTTTGGGAGGCTGAGGTGGGTCACACATTCAAGACCAGCCTGGCCAACATAGTGAAAACCCATCTCTACTAAAAATACAAAAAATTAGCCAGGTGTGGTGGCAGGCACCTATAGTCCCAGCTACTCAGGAGGTTGACCAGGAGAATCGCTTGAACCTGGGAGACGGAGGTTGCAGTGAGCCAAGTTTGCGCCACTGTGCTCCAGCCCGGGCGACAGTGCGAGACTCCGTCTCAAACAAACAAAAAAAAGAGTAAGGTATCAAAATTACTCTGAGCTGTAGTAGAGCTAGAAAAACCTGGAGGAGCTGATTCGATAACTGCAGGGGTGGGAGAGGGTAGAGATAAGGAAATGTTCTTAACATCCTTTGAAAGCTAAGGAAATCTAAACAAGTTTGACTTTTGCAGTGGTCTCTTGTAACATGAACTTCAGATTTTTTTAAAAACTATATAATAAAATGATACTCAAAGTTTATCTGACCTTCATCCTTTGACCTTGGAAGAAATCACTGTAGTGTTTAAGCAAGGAAACCAGCACCGTGTTCTCATCATACTTGATTAAGAAGTAAGGAAGAGCTGTGACTCCTTCTGTTTGACAAAGATTATCATATGCACACTCTAATGCTTCAATCTGAAAACAGAAAACACATCGTTATTCTCTAGAAAATTACATATCTAGTTCTGAGCTAAAAACTAACTCAAAATAAAAGGTACCTCAAAACCAGAAGACTGGAAATGACTGATCACACTCCTCTTACTCTTACAGCAAACGAACATAGAAGTGCCTCCAGATAATACCACTTAGCTTTTATATAACGCTTTCCAGGTGCATGGTGGTGTGTGTCTTAGGAGCACAAAGGGACATTTTATGGTACAACATGGTGGTTCCCTAAGCTGTCAATCAGAGTTTTAGAGAGGTAACCAAACATTCTTTCTCTCCTATGATAATCCAACATGAATCTACCCCGATGAATTTTACCCTGAACCTTTCCATAATCTTCAACAGGTTTACTGAGACATGACTAACATACCATACAATGCACCCATTTATTACTTTTTGAGACAGGTGTCTTCCTTCTGGCTCCAAGCTGCCTTTCTTGCTCTGTCACCCAGGCAACCACAGCTCACTGCAGCCTCAACCTCCTGGGCTCAATAAATCCTCCTATCTCAGCCTCCTGAGTAGCTGAGACTATGGGCACATACCACCATGACCGGCTTTTTTGTACTTTTTATAGAGAAGGGGTTTCACCATATTGCCCAGGCTGGTCTTGAACTCCTGAACTCAAGTGATTTGCTCACCTCTGCATTCCAAAGTGCTGGAATTACATTAGAGGTGTGAGCCACCGTGCCTGACCCAATTCACCCATTTAAAGTACATAATGCAATGTGTTGTTTTTCTAGTATGTTCACAGGGTTATGCAACCACCACAGAAATAATAATTATAGAACATTTTTGTCCTCAATAAAAGAAACCCCATACCTGCCAGCAGTCAATCCTCATCCAAAATCCTTTTTCCCCACTTACATTTCTTCTTGGGAAATTAGTTCCACAAAACCACAACCTTGGATTTGTACAAAATAAAAAAAAAAAAAAATTTTTAATCAATAATGGCTGCTCCCTGAACAGCTCCAAGAAAGCTCCCTGAATGATGGCTTCAGTATCCAGGGCTTTAGTGATCGATGTGTTTCACAAATTCAAATCATCTTGACACATAATCTTTGCTTTAACAACAATCAGAATTTTCTAGTTTAGGGTCTCTGTTTTACCAGCCTGATTATTTTAACTGCTGTTCTGGGAACCATCTCTAATGACCTTATTATCTATCCCAAATGTCACTGACTAACTCTGCATGTACTGCTCCAGGTAGAAAAGCTTTGCAACTTGGTACCAGGGTCGGAGAATGCCTTCTGTTTTGTTTCAAAGACTTGTTCCCAGAGTATACTGCCTTATGTTTCCCCACATTGAAAATGAAGTCCACATTTTGGTAAATTCTTTCAGTGTTTCAAAATATTCCTATAATTCCCCCTTACTGGCTTAGCATTTCACCAAATACCACTGAAAACCTGGAAAATTACTGTTCATTACATCTTCAAAATGACTTTATAGACCAGGCAGGGTGGCTCATGCCTGTAATTCCAGCACTTTGGGAGGTTGAGGTAGGCAGATTGCTCGAGCCCAGGAGTTGAAGACCAGCCTGGCCAACATGGCAAAACCCCGTGTCTGTTAAAAGACAAACATTAGCCAGGTGTGGTGGGATGCCTATAGTCCCAGGTGCTGAGGAGGCTGAGATGAGAGAATCACCTGAGCCTGAAAAGTTGAAGCTACAGTGAGCTATGATCGTGCCACTGCACACACCCCGTGTAACGGGGGTGAGACCCAGTCTCAAAATATATATAAATATATATACAAAAAAAAGACTTTGCAAACATTTTCTAAATAAGTCTGCTCCTAGTACCACCTTTGGAGGATTTCAGTCACCACCTCTTCATCCAAAGAAGTACCTGTTTGTCTTTGGAAAGCACTAGATAACTACTCTTGCACATTCAACCCAATTTTTTGTGCATTTTGGTTATTTGTTGATACCTGTTTTAGTGAAAACCTTTGATCCAAACCCACTGGCCCCTGAATGAGAGGTAAACTCTCTGGAAGGCAGAGGGCAGGATAGCAAAACCAATAGTAGAAGTGGTACTTCTTTAGATCCTAGAATAAAAAATATAAATAGGTTATTAGAATAGCACCATTAGGTTAAGATGAAACGCACCTATTAATGTAGCTTCACAAGGCCAATTAAGATAGCAAAGCTGATGCAAACCAAGTATGTCCAGCTTGTCAAATATCCTCATCCCCAGCAGAACTCATGATCAAATAAAGGACTTTTTAATTTCCAAAATAGTCTCATATACCACCACTAATAAAATGATGACAAACACAATATACTTTTTTGGCCACTTGCTAACAGAAAATGTGCAATATGTAATTGTTATTATCATCATCATCCTTGAACCTACAAAACCCCCCGGGAGGTAATTATTATTATCTCATTTTATAAACAGAAAACTGAATCTTACAAAGGGGTAAAAAACCTGAACAACAACAAAAAAGATGGCAAAGGGCAGAGAAGAGATCAGAACTCTGCTTCCAAAACTTAAGCTTTTTTCCATTGACCATACATACTCAATGTACTATCTACAGAAGCACAACTTCCAAATAGTTACCATTCTCTTCACAATCAAATAAAGTGCATGTTATTAAGGAAGCTGTGCTATTCACATACCTATGCATGCCTGAAATAATACAATATTGCTTTTGGAAATGCCTTAGTGGATTTAAGTCAACAACTATCAAGCCCTTGGTATGTATAAGGCAAAACATAAGACACTGATAATAAGATGACAATAAACCCCAGTCCCAGACATCAGGCAGCTCACTTTGTGAACGGAGCAGAGATAAAGTGAGTGCATGATTACAGCCACGGAGAGGCTCTAAGTAGTAAGCTGCATGGGTGAATAGAAGAGGTTACATCTTCACGGGTGTATCTGACCCATCCCCCACCAGGGTAGGTGACCCAGGGGAAAGGATTTGTGAGGCTGTCTTTGACTCTGTTCCCACTCACGCTAATGGCTCTTGCTTCAGAATTCCTACAGCTTTTGGGGCCTTAATTAAATTCATGGTAGTATTCCAGACATATGTGGGTATTTGGCAGCTTGCCTACAAGCCTGTGACCACCGAATATGAATGCAGTTTATGTGACTAATTAATATTTCTTCTTGAATCTTGCTAACAATTAAAATTGGATGATTGTTAAATGACCTTTTATTGAGATATAATTCACATGCCATAAAATCCACCATGTTAAAGTATATAATTTAGTAGTTTCTTTTTAGTATAGTGATATGGCTGTATCATCCAGAATATTTTCATCAATTCAAAAAGAAATCTCATATATATTAGCAGAGACTCCCCATTCCCCCTCCTCTCATCCCCTGGCAACCACTAATCTATTTTCTGTCTCTATGGATTTGCCTAGTGTGGACTTTTCATATAAATGAAATCATACTAGATGACTTTTAAAATGTAAATGTATATATAAACATGTGTACAGATGAGAAAGTCTAATAATGGTAGTTATTAGACTTTATAACTACCATTATAATTCTCTAATTCTGCGGTCTCTAATTCTGCTATTCACTGATCAACTAAGAACAAATTCCCTCTTCACAATGGCAAAATGAACTGCAAAACTGAAATTAATGAACTGTCTAGTCCTATGAGTCCTAAAAACAGCAGAAGTAAAGCAAAAACACCTCCAGAGATTATTTTCTCTTCTTTGTACTTAAATGATTTGTCATAACTGATCTTTAGTAAAAGGTTAAACAATTCAAGATGAAGAACCTCACAAATTCTTTTTTTTTTTTTTTTTTTTGGAGATGGCGTCTTGCTCTGTCACACAGGCTGGAATGCAGTTGCACGATCTCGGCTCACTGCAACCTCCACCTCCCGGGTTCAAGCAATTCTCTTGCCTCAGCCTCTCGAGTAGCTGGCCACCATACCCAATTAATTTTTTTTTAATTTTAGTAGATACGGGGTTTCACTATGTTGCCCAGGCTGGTCTAGAACTCCTGAGCTCAGGCAATCTGCCCACCTCGGCCTCCCAAAGTGCTAGGATTACAGGCATGAGCCACTGCACCCGGCCAGACCTCACAAATTCTAAGAAACTTTATCAGGTCATCTTCAAAAGCCAAAAGGCTTGCATTTCTTAGGATTCTTTTCAGGATACAAAGGACCTCCATTAAATTAAACATAAAGTCCTTAGTGTCTGAAGATTTTAAAAAATAGATACTTATAATTTTGTTTTAAGCCAGGCTAATAATGCTCAGTAAACAAGGCAACAAGACCAACACACATACTGACTCTAGCAAACCTTAAAACTTTAAGTAAGAGCTAATGTTATTTTTCTCATTAAATGCAAACTGTCAGCATGTTCTACTAATGAGAATTCTTGGTAAAGAAAGCGTACTGACGTTCAAGTAACTAGAAATCTTTAACTAGCAATACTTACAATTTACCCCAGTAAAGAACCTACAGGCCAGGCGTGGTGGCTCATGCCTGTAATCCCAGCACTTTGGGAGGCCGAGGCGGGCGGATCACAAGGTCAGGAGATCAAGACCATCCTGGCTAACACGGTGAAACCCTGTCTCTACTAAAAGTATAAAAAATTAGCCGGGTGTGGTGGCGTGGGCCTGTAGTCACAGCTACTCGAGAGGCTGAGGTAGGAGAATGGGGTGAACCCAGGAGGCGGAGCTTGCAGTAAGCTGAGATCGCACCACTGCACTCCAGCCTGGGAGACAAAGTGAGATTCCGTCTCAAAAAAAAAAAAAAATCTACAGAATTACCCAAACATATAGACAAATTATAAATGCCAAATTGAGCCAAGTAATCAGACAAAAAATTTAAACATTTTTCTCTCTCCTCCACTATTACATAGAAAGCATTGTAACTGTTAGAAAATGTGTTCCTTGTAGATAGCCACCCACTGGCCTTGTTTGATTGCTATCATACCCTCTTTTGCCTTGGGCAATAAATCAGAGGCCTCCCCTACATCTAGGAATCCAGGAGGAACGGTAGGAGGTCACGGAAGAACTTGGCAAAAAATAAAAAGTGGGAAAGAGAATTAATATCCAAAGCTGATGACACTGTGGTGAAACAGCATACTTAATCCACAGCAACATTACGGTGTTTATACGCCCGCTCCAAAGAACTTACTCTAAAGAAGTAAAATGAGCAGGAAAAAAGACCAATATGGCTAATATTATATATTTTTCAATATGCCACAGTATTTTTTTAATTTGAGACAGGGTCTCACTCTGTTTTCCAGGCTGGAGTGCAGTGGTGCAATCATGGCTTGCTGCAGGCAGCCTCAATCTCTCAGGCTCAGATGATCCTCCCACCTCAGCTCCCCAGTAGCTGGAACCACAGGCAGGCGCCACCACACCTGGCTAATTTTTGTATTTTTTGTAGTGACAAGGTGTTGCCCAGGCTGGTCTCAAACTCTTGGCCTCAAGTGATCCACCTGCCTCAGCCTCCCAAAGTGCTGGTATTACAAGCATGAGCCACTGTGCCCAGACTAGCATTTTTAATAATAGTGAATATTAGAAACCACCTAAATATATAACAGGAATCTATGGAACATACATTTGACAGAATGTTATATAGTCAATATAATAATAAAGGATATAAATTAGTTTTATATACATATATATATACATATATATATATCTGTGTGCTGTGTGTGTGCACTTGCATGTGTGTATAGCTGGTATCTGTGTGTTTGCATAGCTGGTATCTCTATAACCAACTCTTACCTTTTCCCTACTTTTCCCTCACCAAGGCCAGGTCCTTCCATCTACATTCTACCCCTTCTTCACTGGGCAGCACATGTTACCCTAATACGATTTCCTTTTCAAGGCTAACCTCAATGTTCATTTTAATTAGATTTTGCTTACAGAAAACATTTTGCTGACTTTAAAAAAACAAAAAACGAAAAAATCAACAAGCAATTTTGTGGTCAAGCTATGCAGTGTGATCTCCTCTAATCCAGAAGCCCCTTCCCTTTATTTCAATGGACCTCTGTAGGACGGTATTTAACAAAGGCGTTAGCAACAATGAAACAACATTCCCTGAACCTGACTGTATGATGCCCTGTTTTATATAAACTATGCAACTACTGCCAGTATGATCCATAGGGGTGAATTAAGTTAGCATCGGTAATAGGTGCCAGCACTATCTGGCCACTAATCAAATGAGCATTTCGTTAACAGCTATTATTCAAATAACAGAAGGTAGTAGCTTCAGAGAGAAGAGCACACTGTTCTACGGGTACACTGGGCTGAGCCAGGGGATCTCACCAGCCTCGGTGCAACCGAGAGCCCATTTACTTACTGCAAATGTCAAGAGGAGGAACTTGTTGAGGAGTACAGGATTTTCAAGAGCAGCACCTGATTTTATGGATTCCCATATCTGCCAAAAGAAAAGCGTCAAGGCAGGTTACCAGGCATCTCTGAGCTTCTCACTTCCAGGCAAAGTGTGGAGCTGAAAAGCACCAGGTTCTTCTTTCCTGCAGGCCCAGCACCACTTACCCCATACAATGAAGTGGGTTGTTACCTCACTCTGCCCACTTCACACTGCCTCTCTCCCAGCCACACTCCTTCAACATCTAAGCCAAGTGAGGGAGCCCAGGCGCCTCCTCTCAGCAGATCTCAGCACAGAGGAGGCAACCAGGCCATTTTCATGTCTTCACAATCTCCTTCAGCAAATATTTATTTATTGTCTACTATATACCAGGCACATCAGGGTTACAGAAATAAAAGACATGGTCAGTCCCTACCCTCAAGACACTCGCAGTCTAGAGAGAGAGACTGGCATAAACGTATAACTTCACCGCCATGTAGGATTTGCTGTCACAGAAGTGGGTAGAATTTATGGGAGGAATTCTCTGCAGACTCAGCTGGGCAACTGGGAGGGTGAAGAGCCTGGGAGGGGCTCTCAAAGGAAGTACTGTAAAATACACACAGGGGTTTCTTGAAGCCTTGTTTGAGATAATCTTGCCCTGAGAGATGAAGAAAGAAGAGCAAACTTCAAATTTATGCATACTCAGCAAGTACTGAAACTAGGAGCAAACGCTGGTGCTGGTCAGCAGCTGTGGATCACAAGATGTTTTTGTAGCTAAGATTCGTAGCTAAACTTGGTGTTACTAAGCAAGACCAAACAGTTGCACTAATAAGAATCATTCCCTAAGTATGGGTGGAAGAGGGAAATAAGTAAGCAGAAGTAAGTTCCTGCTACTGACATACTGGTCTTGGAGGAGCTGGACCACTGAAGAGAGGCTCCCAATTTCTGGTAAGCCGAGGGAGCATGGGGCAGGAGCTGCCAGGAGAATTCTGGGCCCCAGTTGAGGGGTGGAATATTCATGTGGGGGTGGGGAACCTGCTTTTTTCCAAGATGATGAAGGCCTGACCCAAATCTTTGGAGACTCCCTTTTAAATGTGCAGCCAAAGCAGGAGGCCCAGGAGCAGTCAAGCCACAGGTCAAGAAGAACGACCATCCTCTCCTGAGTCACAGCTGTATCCATCCCAAGGGATGTGAGGGAAGCCTGCCTCAGGACCTGACCACTGCACCCACACCAACAAGATTCATGTCGTAATCAAGACTGGTATAAAGACTCCTTGATTAAAGCGGTTAGACAGGACTGGGATAAACCGCCCCCGCCTCCCATTTTAATTCCTCTCACTAACTCCAATGTAAAGAAGCAAAGGAAAGACATTCCAGGCAGAGAGGATATTGTGTTCCCAAGGAGAAAGGACAGAACAGAAAGTAGGTGGAGGGAATTACATGTGATTTGCTATGACAGACTCAGAGAATGCAAGGGCAAGAGTGAGAGCTTAGAAAGGACAAGAGAAAAACAGGGCCAGGCCACAGAGGCCTTGAAAATCAGATGCAGTAGATTAGATAAGTGAAGACACTGGAGAGACTACATGATAATCTCCTCTACCGCATGGTGCACAGGATTGACAAGCCTCTCCAAGGGACAATAAACAGAGTGCCCAGAAGCATTCAGCCACAGGAACACAACTCTCCGAGGTCTGGCTGCTTCCAAATGCTGGCTGGAGATGAGCAGCAAACTGATGACTTAACCTCTGCCCTGCCATGTCATTTCCAGCCTATCCCAGGTGAGAGCCTGGATGTCCTCTCCCTGACCTTCCTGCCAATACAGAAGGAGACAGCTGGAGTATTCTCTCTTGGGAAATACGCCCAAGCCCACAAGTGTCTTTAAGTTCCTATCATATGCCAGTTTCTGCAGCAGACCCATGTGCCTGATCACAAACACTGCACCTGCCAGGACCACAGGAAATATGACACATACATCACGTTTTCCCAGCTAACCTCATTTGCTGTTTGTTCCAAAAGGAGCTTCTTATCTGCAGTCTTGAAAGACTCGAGTGTGTTGGTGTTATACAGTGTTCCAACAGCTGGGCAGCAACGGGCTGGGGTGGGAGCACTCCTAGATACAAGAGAAACACGGTTAGCCAGGCACAGCTGGGACTCAGAGAGCCAGAGAGAGACAAGTCAACCACCACTGTAGTGGGAGAAAAAGGGTATTGCTCTGTAGGGCAAACAGAAGATTAACTGTATGTTTTCTTGGAAAAGATGAATATCATCACTCAAGAACTAAAAAGCAGGCAACTGTATAGGGAAAACCCATATATTCCCTGTACTCTAACCTATCAGGATGCTGTTCTTCCACTGTCCCCCAAAGAGAAGTTCATTTCCTTTTTCTTCTTCTTTCCATCTTTAACCTGAGGGAAATATTGTTTGTTGAGCCAGGAACTGTGCACAGTTTGAATTCTCATAACAGCTCTTTTCCCCATTTAAAGGTTTAAGCAACTTGCCTAAGGTCACATAATAATAGGCAGAGCTTGAATCTAAAACCAGAACTAGCTGAGCCCAAGGTACTGTGCTATGCCTACGCCACCTCTCAGACCCTCCCAGGCTTCAAAGTCCTGCTCCAATCTCTCGTCTTCTGGAAAGCTATCTCCACTTTCTCTGCTAAGAGTTGGCACATAAAACTCAGCGTAATATTTTCGAGCATTTTCAAGAACTACAGTCATACCCACCCAGCTGGAGGACAGTAAGCTCCCTGAGGATAGAAAGTACGTGTTCTCCTAACTGTCCCACAACCTAGCCCGCCCCAAACAGGGCTCTGCACAAAACTGCTGCTGGGCAAGCCCCTGATGGTTGTCTGAGTCTCACAGACAAAACGTCTCACACCTGGGCTACCTGTCAATCTGTCATGCCACCAGGTTCACACACTCTACATTGCCCCCAAAGGCCTCACAGTCCTCAGAGTAAGCAAAGTCAGGAGAAGAGAAGAGGAGTTGATTCTGAATATGAATTCAGATGTGGACAAATCTGGTCTCTTCTCTGAAATGATTAACTTGCATTTCAGAGTTTATAACTGTTAAATGAAAATATTCATTTCATTAGTAGCCTACTATTGTTGTCACAATTAATGCAGACAGAATGCCTTTTTACTGACTGCACTGATGATAGCTGCATAGTTTAAAAGAATCTGTGTCTTTTCATTTAGAGTCCATGTAAAATTGGGTTTATGGGGCTGAAGTAGAAATCTAAACCTAGAACAGGTATGAAGGGGTGCAATTAATGACATGGCTCTGTCAAATGCCATCTATCAGGCTCAATGACTCTGTCAATTGCCATCTATCAGGCTCAAACACCAAGTCCTCAGGGAAAGCTAGCTTTCAATGGCCAGAGCCTTCTCTTGGAAGCTATGAGTCAGCAAATCACAAGTTGTTTGTCACCATGCTCCTCCAATAAAAGAATATTTTTCATCCAGGTGAGATGAGGACATCCAAGCTGGTCTTGGAGAGAGAGAAATCACAAAGGGAAAAGATTAAGCCCAGAGGAAAGGCAAAGAGCGCAGAGCAGTTGGTAAACTAGGCCTTCTACATTCAGACTTGGCTTTATGAAATTACTGCTGAAACAGGATGTGGAAACAGAAGGAAGCATGCTATGATCTAATTTGGACACAAGCACAGAGGAGGAAGGTGCCCTTCTTCCCAAACTTCCCAGGTGTGTAAGAGCCATACCAAAGCCTCACTCTGTGAAAGGAGAAAACTACATACCAAGAGCTCAAGCAACTGCAAGACGGCTAGGCTCCTAGGAGCATCAGCACTTATGCAAGTTAATTAGCCAGGACAATCGGGAGCTTCAGAGAGGCATCTTTCATGACTAAAGTTCTACCATGAGAGGTGGCAGGAAAATGAATTTAAAAAGTGATAATGAGAGAGAAGGAGCCTGAAACTTGGAGATAAGAGAATTTAGTTCAAATTTTGGTTCTGACCCTTACTAGTTTAGTTTCTTATGGTTCCATTTACATGAAATATGCAGAATAGGCAAATCCTCAGAGACAGAAAGTAAAGTTATGGTTGGCTAGGGCTGGTGACTATGCAGGAGCGGGGATGGGGAGTAACTGCTAAGGGTGTCTTTTCTGGGAGATGCAAATGTTCTGGAATTAGTCGTGATGGTTGCACAACTCTATGAATCTACTAAAAACCACTGAATTGTACAGTTTAAAGGGGTGAATTTTATGGTATATGAATTATATCTCAACATAGCTGCTAAAAAGAATCAGAATTAGAAATTTTCTCCACATACTAAGGCCAACAGTGAACTTGCAATAATGCATATGCTAACCTAGTAAAAATGGATCTCACAAAGGCCGGAAGACTGGACCTGCTTTGGGGACATCACAGCTAGACACTTGGCCTTCACTTCATTCAGTCTCGCAGTGGTGACTCAGGAAAGTGCTGGGGCTGTGTTGCACCAGTTATTTACACTTGGCCAACAGGCAGGCAGGTGGTCAGAACGGAATAAATCCTCTGGAAGAGCACCTGTGCTCTTCATACCTGGAGGTATCTACTTCACACACAGCTTCACATGCCCACAGGGAATGTTTGGAACCCAGAAAGCCACAGTCAGTTTGGGGTCATGCTTCTTTGTCGTCTCCTGACTTCCCTAGCGATCGCAGAGTTCCTGTTTGTAACATCCTCTAACACAGTCCACTAGTTTCTTTCTATGAACCACACCACGTATCATTTTGACAGCCGTGCGCTTAGACCGATTGTAATTCAATTAGACAGTTATTGAGCAAATAGTACACCCCAGATCTGTGTTGGGTGCTGGTGATACGGCAAAGAATAAGAAAGACACAGTCTCTGCCCCACACATATGAGTGTGCGTAAGACTCCTACTTCCTTCACTACCTTTTCAGTTCTTTGAGGGCAAGAATTATGCCTTCTATTTCTCTAATTAGGTCCAACTTGAGGTTTAGAAAAGAAAAATAATTTTTTTTCTTTTTTTATTTATCTTTTTTTTTTTTTTGAGACGGAGTCTCACTCTGTCGCCCAGGCTGGAGTGCAGTGGCACGATCTCAGCTCACTGAAAGCTCCGCATCCTGGGTTCACGCCTTTCTTCTGCCTCAGTCTCCCAAGTAGCTGGGACTGCAGGCGCCCGCCACCATGCCCGGCTAATTTTTTTTTGTATTTTTAGTAGTGACGGGGTTTCACCATGTTAACCAGGATGGTCTCGATCTCCTGACTTTGTGATCCGCCCACCTCGGCCTCCCAAAGTGCTGGGATTACAGGTGTGAGCCACCGCACCCGGTGGAAAATTCTTTATCAGCTTCACATTGGTATAGAGATTGTCAATCAAAATCTATTTTCCTCCTTGTCAATAGAAATAGAAAGCACACATAACGTTTTAGCTGGGTTCCATGCTTCCCAGTCTTCTTTGCTAGACAGGTAAGGCCACGAGTTCTCCTCAGTAGAATCTGAGTGGAGTGATGCATCTCCCTTCCCGCCAGGGCCTTTAAAAGACCAGGTATGTCTCTTCCACCTTTTCCCACCTTGGCTGTCTTTCCTCATTAATCTGTTGTTACCTGAAAGTGACAATTGTCTTAATCAGCACACAAATGCAAAGTCCTCAGGGATAATGGAGCCACAACATGGAAGAAGACTGGACCAGCCCTGGGCTATTCTATGAGCAAGAAATGAACTTCCTTTGTGTTTGGACCCTTACATTTTTGTGTCTGATTAAGCAGGATACCCTAACTCAAGATAGCATCCTCCAGTTTAAGACAGTTGGTGCCTGATAAAATACTACTCGACTGACAATTCATCTAATACAATTCAGAGAACAGGATCCTTGTGCTGCTGCCTGCAGAGATCCATAAGACTCCCGGGGCACAGAGTAGAAGGGACTTATCCAGTGCTATGCAAAGCTGAGATACTCTTGACATCCACAAGTGAGTACTGGGATTGTCAGCTATTCAACTGTATGTCATTCCTGTCTGTATGCCCAGCGCCTAGCACATTTTATTATGAAGACACAGAGGAAGCAATCAATAAGTTTTCCTGAAATAATGATTACCTCTCCATGCTTATTACAGCACTGAGCACACTACAATGCAAATATTTGCCTTTTACTTCTCTCTCTCATATAGTAGAGGAGCTCTGGAGAACGTATTTCATAAGTCTTTGTATTCCTAACACCTACACATCTGCACATTGTAGATATTCCCTCTTTGATAAAAAAATTCATAAAGACTTTCTCTACCAACCCATGCAGATACACAGCAATCAAAACAAAGATGGGGTAATAATAAAGGAAATAATTTGGAATAAAGAAATCAGGCCTTCTGAGAAGTCCCAAGCATTTTCATTAAACTTCCCAGCCATCCTAAGAGGGACTCAGAAAGTGACAGACTTTTAAAACTGGAGAGAACATTAGAAAGCAAGAATTCATTTTAAAGATGAGGAAACAAAAGCTGAGAAAACTAAAAGGGCTTACTGAAGTAGCACAGTTAATTAGCCATAGACTCCAAATCTTCAAACTTCAAATCCAGGGCTATTTTCACACAATGGGGACTATATCTTATTTCTACTCACCTCCCACTGTCTACCACAGTGCCTCACACACTGAGGGTATTCAATGGTTAAAGAAAAAATATGATGAGTGAAAATGAGCTATTTGTGTGAAAGTTATAGCTTGCAGGATCACAGATTTTCTCATCTCCTTTAACCAAAATTTTTAGATTAATGAAGTTTAAGATGCTCACATTTTGTAATAAGTTCAAACTTAACTTCTGTGAACTGTGTTTTTCTAATTAATTGTTCTAAAGAATAAAATCATTAAAACCTTATAAAACAAACAAAACTGCAGTCCATTAGAAGGATAAGGATAGGAGTGAGGTTAGTCTGAGATAAATATGAGGCTCTCCAGATTACACAAAACAGACTACTGATGCTCCCCCGTACCATCTTCAGACAACTTAATGCTTGCACATTTCCAATATTTTCCTCGTTATATCTTAATGGCTCCAAAATAAGTTAGTTGCCGAAACAAGAGAGAGATTATTAGGATTTTATTTCTTTTGACAGGTAACCACAAGGAATTTACAATGGAGCAAGAAAGCTCCAAAGGGAACGAGAAACACCAACACATACATTTTTAAAGATACAAATACTAACCTCATTGTGGATGTACGTCATACTTTCAAATTTTGCAACTGAATTGAGATAAAGGGGAAAAAAAAGTATTGATTTTCTGAGATTAAAAAAAATTCTAGGGACACTTTATTTTAAATATCCTAATATTTGACTATTGCCACTTTCAAAAGCCAGAAAGACCTTATAAAGACTTCTTCACCTTCCTAAAATTCCCCATCTTGATATTGCTGAGGTACAATAAAGCAGAAAAACCACTGTAGCCTTTTTCAATTCTCAATAATCTTAAAGGCCCTCATCATGGTTTCAACTCCACCCTCTTTCTCAAACTGAATTCTTAAGGATCGCAATGACTTAATCAATAAACACAACAGCCCTGGCATTGACCCCTGTGCTTCTGACACTGTTAGTTTCTCTCTCCCTCCAGAAAGCATTTCCTTCTTTGGTTTCTGTAACACTTTTCTGGTTTTCCTCTGACAACCCCTGTGTCCTTCGCTAGATCTGTATCGTCTTTCGCCTCCCTAATCAGAGCCATTCACTGTTTGCACCTTTTGTTCTTATACTATACAGATCCTCCTTGACTTACCATGTCCTGATAAACTCACCATAAATTGAAAAAAAATCATAAATAAAAACTCTATTTAATACGCCTAACCTGCCAGACATAGCTTAGTCTAGCCTCTCTTAAACGTGCCCAGAACACTTACATTAGCCTACAGCTGGGCAAAATCATCTTAACACAAAGACTGTTTCATAATAAAGTGTTGAATATCTCAGGTAATTTACTGAATACTGTACTGAAAGTGAAAAAACAGAATGGCTGTATGGGTCCACAAAGTATAATTTCCACGGAATGTGTATCACTTTCTCACCATCATAAAGTCAAAAAGTCATTAAACCACCATAAGTTGGAGACTATCTTTATTCTCTTTCTCCTCTACCTGGATGTCTCCCAAATCTAGTCTGATCCTCTCTCCCCGACTCCAGTTCCTCCTGGACATTTCTAGTAGATACTGTCATCTCAAACTCAACATATTCTAAACCAAACTTATCTCCTCCTAAATTTGTATCCCCCTCCTGGTTTCTCTATTTCTGTAGAAGATAGCAAAATCCCTGTAGCTACTCATACTGGGTTTCAGAAATACATTTGTAAATACATTTTTTTCTCTCGCCCCTGCTTTCTAAATTTGGCTAGGTGTGACCCTGGGCAAGCCATTTTTACCATTCGTCCCATGGTTTCCTCATCTGAAAAAGAGAAAAATCACACCTGGCAAGTCTGAAAGAACAGATGTTTATGAAACTGCCTAATTAAGTGCTCAATAAATGTGTCTCTTGGCTGGGTGTGGTGGCTCGATCCTGTAATCCCAGCACTTTCAGAGGCCAAGGCAGGCAGATCACTTGAAGTCAGGAGTTCGAGATCAGCCTGGCAAATATGGTGAAACACTGTCTCTACCAAAAAAACACAAAATTAGCCAGGCGTGATGGCACGTGCTTGTAATCCCAGCTGCTTGGGAGGTTGAGGCATGAGAATAGCTTGAACTCAGAAGGCAGAGGTTGCAGTGGGCTGAGATTGTGCCACTGCATTCCAGCCTGGGTGACAGAGTGAGACCCTGTCTCAAAAAAAAAAAAAAAAAAAGTGTCTCTTCTCTCCAGCAACTCCCCATAGCTCCCAAGCAGATAAAAAAAATTCTTCAAGGATATATCTATCATATTCCTTTACATAGCACTATAATGCCTTGCACAGTGGCTTATATACAGAAGTAGCCTAATAAACATTCATTGATCAATGCCCATAGACAAGCAACTAAAGGAGTGAATCAAGAGAGGTATCAAGAAAAGATCACAAAATATTAACTACAATCAAAATCAAGAGGGATATTATCTATGTCTCAATCAATCTAGAAGGCATCTGGCACCTAATTGGCTCTGATATACATGGTGAAAAATGAACCAGAGAGACCTAAGCAGCTAGCATTCATCTCTATGGGAGGTGTAAAAGAATCACAAGGGGGCTGACTCTGCTCACCGGGAGTTTCCCTAGTCCTCCTGTGGTCCACATATGAGGGAGGTAAGCATGCTCATTCCTTGCCAAAAGTAGTGTTCTTTACTTCAGATTTTGAACAAATAAATACTCACATGTCAAAAGCACTGAACTCCAATGTTAAGCGAGCTGGCAGCCCAGCAGAGTCACCTGGACAGAAGCATTATCACATTTTCAATGACAAGTCAGAAATAGCAGCATTCATAACAAAAATGCTTATGAATAGTTTTCTTCTCTTTGTTGAGCCCAAGGCGCCCCATCCAATTTCTGATTATCTATGCTACATAGATAATATATGTATGGATAGATAATAACAGAATGTGACAGAGCTCTTGTGAATATGAGACATTTGCCAAGAATATAAAAAAGATTCAATGGAAAAAAATATTTCCAATCTCTTCCCCCAGCAATGCTAAGTAATGGGTATTATTTGGATTAATAATTTGAGTTTCACTACTCTCTTTCTTTTTCCCCACAACAAGAGAAAATAAATGAAAATGAACTGAGATCAAAAAGTCAGGAAGTAAAATAGAAACTAGTGAAGAGCACTGATTACAAAAGACAAGGCTGTCTCTTTCTAAAGGAAAGCTGACACTATACTGGAGGACAGAGAGGATAACAGAAGACAATGGAAAATGAAATTTACAATCACCTACCATTGTAGTAATAACCCTTAATGTCCTTGGGAGCTTCATCCAGCCGATACTCATTCAGCTTCTTCTGGGTCAACTCATGCCAGAAACCAACATCCAAGGCACTGCTAAAGGGGGCAAACTGCAGTTTAGAGAGTCCAGGATCCCCTGTAGCTGCTGCCATTATTTCTTGCCTACTAAAAAACAAAACAGAACACAGCAAAATAACATATCCATGCAAAACCTGATGAGAAAGAACACTTGTAATAAAGCTTAATTCAAACAAACAAAAAGTAATGAGATGTTTACAGGCTACCTTAAGACACAACTTCTTTTTGGATTGTGGTAAGAAACACATAACATATACTTTACCATCTTGATTATTTTGAAGTGTACAGTTGGGTGGTATTAAGTATAATCACAATGTTGTAAAACAGATCTCCAGAACTTTTTCCTCTTGCAAAACTGCAACTCTATACTCTTTAAACAATAATTCCCCATTTCCTTTCTCCCAGGACCTTGCACCCACCATTCTAATTTCTGTCTATACGGGTCTGACTACTTCATGTAAATGGAATCATACAGTATTTGTGTTTTTGTGACTGGCTTATTTCACCTAAGACACAACTTTGAAAACCATCCTAATTGGCCTGTGTTGTCAAGCCGATTCTCCTCACAACAGTGATTTTTTTTTTTTTTTTTTTTTTTTAATTGAGATGGAGTCTCGCTCTGTAACCCAGGCTGGAGTGCAGTGGCGCGATCTCGGCTCACTACAACCTCCGCCTCCCGGGTTCAAACAATTCTCCTGCCTCAGCCTCCCAAGCAGCTGGGACTATAGGCGCATGCCACCAGGCCCAGCTAATATTTGCATTTTTGGTAGAGATGGGGTTTCACCGATGACACAGTGATTTTTCTAAGTAATCCTTTGTGGCCTTAATGTTTATGCTTCTTTCTTCCTTGAGTCAGTCTGACTGATGATGCACTCCTGTTATTCCTTCTTCGACACAGACACTGTCTCAGAAGATTTTGCCATCTTGTGTGGTCCTGGAGAACTCTGCAAGTACAAAATCTTACATCCCGCTACTCAGAAATACAACAACCCAAACTGTCAGAATTCTGTCTATATGAGAGCAGTGCTTTAACTCCTCTAGCTGAGGCAGATAATGAGGATACATTTCTCCCCACCTCCCACAGTACCTAAATTTCTTTGAAATCTCATATTTTATCTTTTCAATGCATGGAAATTTTATATTTTGTGCCATGATATACATTTTATTATTTCATTTCCCCCCTCAAATCATCTAATAAATTTGACCTTCCTGGCAATCATGCATATGTATGCTGTAACTTTCTATAATCCCTCCACACTCTCAGGGGTAACATACCCCAGTTTGAGAAGGACAATACTAAAGAAATGTGGCAGCTCCAAAAACCAAATTGATGAGTCTGTTCACTTTCCATTCTATCCAATTACCCCACAACCAGATATACAAGTATTTCTGCAGCAGAACATATGAACAGTCATATGGGATACTTTCTTTTTTTTTTTTTTTTTTGAGACAGGGTCATGCTCTGCTGCCCAGGCTGCAGTACAGTGGCACAATCTCGGCTCACTGCAACCTCAGCCTCCTAAGCTCAAGCAATCCTCCCACCTCGGCCTCCCGAGTGGCTGAGACTACAGGCATGGGCCACCATGACTGGCTAATTTTTCTGTATTTTCAGAAGAGACCAGGTCTTGTCATGTCACCCAGGCTGGTCTTGAGCTCTTGGACTCATGATCCTTCTGCCCCAGTCTCCTAAAGTGCTGGGATTACAGGCATGAGCCACTGTGCCTGGCCAAATGGGATACATTTTTAAAAGACAGCTCATATCTACTTAGGGAGGTTTTGCTTGAGTTTTGTGCCAAGACTATTAGAAAGCTTTCAGTTTTCCAAACTTGTTGGATTTAGCATTAGAGATAAGGAGCTTTGGATTGATAGAAACTGTATAATGAAATACAAAGCTAGTGCTCCTACATAAAAGGTATTCAAATCAAGAAGGACGGGATGAATGTGGGGCAGAGCCTTGGGAAAGACACCGTGAATAAGATGGGCACCGAGTGATGTTGAAAAGGATGGGTAAGGTTGGGGGGGGAAGATGGGTGGAGGGCAGAAGGAACAAGAAGAGCAGAGGAATACTCATGGCAGAAATGGGGACGCGCGAAACCAGCTGTCCTCATGTGGACGGTCTGTGCTGTGCAAGAGCAGCACACACAGAGCTGAGCAGGTGACATGGGTGAACACCTATGGAGAAGCCTCAAATGCAAGGCTAACAAATTTCGGAGTGGGAAGCCAGTGGCAGTCCGGCATGATGAATATGATTCTGCAGTGGGTAAAGGGCTTTGAAGGAGGCAGGCAGGGAAATCAGCTAAGAGCCCAAAAATGTATGAAGACCTGGATTAGAGCAGAGGAGTAAGACTGAAAAGGAGGGGACCCTTGTTGGGGCTGATTTAAAAGAAAAGGTGACCTAACTTGGTATCTTGGTAGACTCAAGAAATGAAAAGAGAGAATAAAGTCCTTGGGGTGTCAAGCCATGAATGGCTAGGAGAATGGCAGCTTGAGTGAAAGACAAGACCCTTGAGAGGCAAAGCAAGTTTCAGAAGAGTAATAATGAAAGACATTTTCAGCTGTGGACAACAGCAGGGCAAAGATAAGCCAAGGAAACTGGACATGGATACTGAGAGAACAGCTAACACAGGTGACAATGATCAGCTCTTAGAAGTTACTCAGAGAAAGAAAAGCCCCACAAAGTCCTAGAGAATGTCCACAGTTAGGGAGTAAAAAGAAATAGAACTAGTAGGCTGGGTGTGGTGGCTCATGCCCATAATCCAGCACTTTGGGAGGCCAAGGCAGGTGGATCACCTGAGGTCAGGAGTTCAAGACCAGCCTGAACAAAATGGTGAAACCCCATCTCTACTAAAAATACAAAATTAGCTGGGCGTGGTGGTGCATGTCTGTAGTCCCAGCCACCTGGGAGGCTGAGGCAGGAGAACTGCTTGAACCCAGGAGGCAGAGGTTGCAGTGAGCCGAGATTGCGTCATTGCACTCCAGTCTGGGCAACAAGAGTAAAACTCCATCTCAAAAAAAAAAAAAAAAAAAGATAACAGACAGTTGTATATAAATTGCAGACGGTGGTTCCTGGTGCCTTCAAGGTTGTACGTCTGAAGCCTAAAATAAAGTCTGCCTATCTAGAGGTGGCTGGTTCACGAGGTTGGTAGTCAGTGACAGCTACCTGGAGAAGAGGAAGCAGAAGGCCAAGATCCACTACCAGAAGTAAAAACAGCCCATGAGGCTGCAGAAACAGGCGAAAGAGAATGTGAAGAAAACTGACGAATACAGAGGTCCTCAAGACCATGGGCTCCTCGTCTGAGCCCAATAAAGACTTCTTATTCCTCTCACTTGGCCTGGCTTGCCCCTTCTCCATCACCGCACTGGGATGTGGGGGACCCAGGCGGCAGTTCAGGTACCGAAGGCAGCCTGGGACTTAGAAAGATGCGAAAGAGGAAAGGGCCTTAGTCACTGCCTTTCTGTAGTTATCTGAAACAATTCTAGGAGTTGTGCAGACATAATTTGCCATGACCTACTTGTTCATGAGAGAGTTTATAAGAACAACTAGTTACTTCTGTTTCAATATTAGCAAAAGTGAGCTGGAACACTAATTGGAGGGGAGCCATACCCTGTGAATGAGGCATCTATTTCCCACCTGGTCATATACTATAGACTGCAGCTGCTAGGATGTGAGAAAACACATGGGGAGGATATGAGTTTGCTGTTGTACAAACATTATTTATAGAAGCAGAGACTGGGAAGATGTGCAACCAAAGGGTTCCAGGTATTGCCCTTGTTCCTTCCCTGCACTCTGTAAACAGAAACAAATAAACTACTTTTACAGAGAGAGACAAAAAAAAAGGCCCAGTGCAGTGGTCCATGCTTGTAATCATAACTCTTTGGGAGGCTGACGCAGGAGGATCACTTGAGCCCAGGAGTTTGAGACCAGCCTGGGCAACATGGTGAGACTCCATTTCTACAAATAAATTTTAAAATTTGCCGGGTATTGCAGGGCACACCTGTAGTCCCAACTGCTCGGGAAGCTGAGGTAGGAAGATAGCTTGAGCCCACCAGGAGGTTGAGGCTGCAGTGAGCCATGACTGCACAAAAGTAATTTGCATAAGAGGCACATCATTTAAATATTTCTGACTTATTTGGCCTAGGGAAATTGTGAACAGAACCCAAGGGCCTATTTCACAAGAGGATATAGTTGATGTTCAGCTGCTGAAACTATTCCATGACAGGCTGAAAACAGAAAAGTCTTAAGTTGCACAGCAGCATGATGAGGAATCTTCTGGAAATACCTAAATAGGACAATCTATGGTAAAGGCATCACTTAGGAACATATACATCTATGTCACATCACTATAGTCCTTAAGCTGGAAGGGAAGATTTAAGAAGTAGTGGTCGGAGGGGAATTTGGGGGGAAGTGAGTCCTAGGTAGTTATTCATGTGTCACTAATCTAAATCCGAACATTACTTACTTCCTGAAAATGTAAGGCTTGCCTGTATGACCCTGGACAGTGCAAGTGAAACTTCGGCCTCTGCTTAGCTTAGAAAGACAAAGGATTGTTTTTATCACATTTCAACATTATATTCAGACACAGTCAAGGAAAGAAATTTACATAGGCATCAATGTAAATGTGTTTCAATTTTATTTCAAACTATTTCAGGATGTGAAACCCAGGAGTTACACAAGATGGGATTGTGTCACTGCCAATTAAACAGGAAAGTTTTTTTTTTTTTTTTTTTTTTTTTGAGGCGGAGTGTAGCTCTGTCGCCCAGGCTGGAGTGCAGTGGCCAGATCTCAGCTCACTGCAAGCTCCGCCTCCCGGGTTCACGCCATTCTCCGGCCTCAGCCTCCCGAGTAGCTGGGACTACAGGCGCCCGCCACCTCGCCCGGCTAGTTTTTTGTATTTTTTAGTAGAGACGGGGTTTCACCGTGTGAACCAGGATGGTCTCGATCTCCTGACCTCGTGATCCGCCCGTCTCGGCCTCCCAAAGTGCTGGGATTACAGGCTTGAGCCACCGCGCCCGGTCAACAGGAAAGGTTTTGATAGGGATTCAACACTGTAATGAACAAGAACTCTAGCAGTGTAAGAAAGCCT